TCATAAGCATGAATATATTCCGCTCTCAAACCAAATCGATCAACTAAGACTTGGTAACTATGACTAATCCATGTGTTGAATGAAAGCTTATCTGTATTAGCAGAGCTTAATGGCATCTTTTTATGAACCATACTTTAAGTTGAATGGAATTTGTAGAAATATGCTTAAAAAAATATTTATTAGTATTTACCAAACCCTTCAACTAAATTAACGATTTGGTACAACCTAGATGAATATTAGAAGCTTTAATATATTTAGTTATAATTACCAACCCATGGTAATAGTTCCCAATCCTTGGTCACAGTTCCCAAATGTTGTCAAAATTCGGGAACTAAATATCTTTAGTTGTCGAAACTAATCCTTTTTCTCAGTGTACTTGTTATTATTGTATCCTTACAGATATTTCATTCTTACATACGATTTTCCATTATTTGTAGGATATATATGTAAAGGTGGACTTGTAAATTCTTCAATTGGTTTTAAATATATTTTATCAACTAAACAACCTATCTCATTTGATCTTAAATGACTCTCAAATGTTTTTACCTCTACTTGTTGACAAAGTACAAAAGCATTTTCGTTATGGATAAGTAAACATTTAATTTTATATAATTCAAAACCTATTCTATTTATAGACAAATAATACTTTGCTTTATATCGTGTTCCCTTAGAAACTAGCTCACTACAAGTCGATATTTACCAATTCACTTGTTTCACAGCGAAAGTCATCTGTTTTATTTATTTTCAAAATGTATGCGAAAATAAGAAAAATTAGTAAAAGTTTGATTACAGTTGTTTTGAATACATTGTATTTTTAACAGTTTTCGTGTTAATAAGTGATCTTTTTTAAAATGAACTATCAAAATTGCAGGTGCTGCAAAGATTTTTAAACAACGAAAACAAGTATACATCTTTCCGTTATTTTCTAAGCAGTGTTCAAAAAGCTTACAAGTGATGTAATATTTGACGATTAGAAGTCGAACTTTGTTTAAGTTAGAAAAAAAAAATTTTCAATAAAAAGCCAGGGGTCCTGACAAGCTTCTGGATATTTAAGATTCATTATTTGAAATATTTTAAAACAAATATCTATGCTTTGAATGAACGAATTAAACTTAAGCAAATTATTATCAAGGTACAGAAAGAAACCGCTTATATTTGTATCTGACAGCCCTTCGACAATCAAAAAAGGTTGTATGGTTAACCCTTCTGAGTAGTATTTGTTAATTACGGCATTGACCTGCCGTTGGTAATAATTCAAAGTTGGGAGCCGCAAAACCAAACTTTCCTGAGAATCAACTATAGTTACTTTCTTGGCTTTTTTACCGCTTTCGCTTTTGAATCTGGCGCCGGAAGGTAATACAGCATTTAGAAGAATTGTAATTAAATAGTCCTGGACATCTGTAAAACAAGGAAATAAATATTTTCCTAATGAATTAAAATTTTATTTTATATACCTTTATTATTTGACGATTTAGCTGTAGCAGGTATTTGCCTACAGTATTCGTTGCTTATGTTTTTCTCATAGTAATTAATAATTTTTGCTTTAAAAGTTTCCCACTTAGCAAGGAATAAATGTGTTTTCTCAGGATACATGAACTGAAAATCAATTTCAATCTGTAAATTTCAAACGGAAAGTACACGGTTAATTCCAGGTATTCCATTCTGAGTTACCATAAATTGTAATAAAATGTTACCATAAAAATGGATAAATAAAATCGCTACGAAAAACAATTAAACGTTTTTTCATACCAAATCAGAAGCCTGTGCATGTGACAATTTTGACCAAGCTTGAAAAAAATCCAAAGGACTCAAATTACATAGGTCTCGCTGCCTTAAATGAAAGGTTTTCTTCCATTTGTCGCAAACTTCGGCCCAATCCGCACAGTCTCTGTTTAAGGATGTTTTATATGCTTCGGAGATCGACTCATCAACTTCTGGAGTTTGGACAAGCGATCTGTTAGCATAGTTTTTATCTTTGCTCTCAGACGACTCAGATAAACCTTCAACCTTTCGGTGCTTCGATTTTTGGTTTTTATACTTTGAATACAACTTTCCAGACGGATTGTTTCTTCCTTGCCTCGAAATGAAGTAATAGTCCTATAAAATACATGAAAGTAGTCCTATTTTAAATGAAACTATGTGCATATGTATGTACAGTGGCGCTCAGCTAAATATCACACTCTTATTTTTTTTTACAATATTCACAATGTTTTACGTGATACATTTTTTTCGTTGATTTTTTATAAAAACACAGTACTTTCTATAACCACGATCCAGAAAATAAAGGTCGCGCCATTCGCGGACCGCTAACCCTCTCTTCGTCGATTTGACAGCATCCACCCAATCGCTGACGTCATAAAATACTTTTGTTTACATTCACTGTTGCCAACTTGATGCTTTTCGCGCCAAGTTTAGTGGGTATTAAAAAAGCGAAAATTTTTGAGTTTGGTGCTTGGTGCGCTTTTTGTGCTTTTGTTTTTAGTTTGAAGACACCAAATTAGAAAATCTTAAAAAAATGGAAGCAAAATTTATAGCAATCGTAAGTATGGTACGCAACTTTACAAAAATTTTAACATCATGGCACAGTGACATAAGCGACAACAAAATATGTGGCAGTACCTTCAATCATGCCAGAAGAAATCGACCGTCGTGCAAGAAACATTGATTTTTATTAATTTGAATCGGAATCCTTACAATAAAAGTATGTATGTATATAAAGTCCATAAAATATAGCAATAAAAATTTGGTGCTTTTTCAAATTCGAAACTTGGCAATACTGCCTTTTGTTCGATGCTTCCTCTTTTTCTTGTCGAGTTCGTCTTGCTCTCTCATTCTGGTATTTTTTGACGTCACGGTCAGTTGCTCTCAGCTCGATTGGCGCAATCTTGTATTCTATCATTCTTGTTCTATAACATAAACCGTATAAGTCCAAGTTTAAAACTTTGTGTACAGTTCAGGAAACTTTAACAAATTTCAAAATGATGTTAAAAAAATTTTCAGCATCAACAAAGTCTATATTTACGCAACACCCTCGACAAAAAAGTCTCAAGAATCAACGGAATTTTTCAGAGTTTTCAAACCTGCACAACTGAATGGGCTACAAAACTGCATACCCAAAAATTTTCTAAAAATTCTGAAAAAATTTTAAAATTATGATGCAATTTTTTTGAAATTTATTAAGTTTTTCTGAACTGCACACAAAGTTTTAAACTTTGACTTACACGGTTTATGTTATGGAATCTACCATATTTTATTATTTTTTTGAATGTTATTAAATTTTCCTGAACTGCGCACAAAGTTTTAAACTTTGACTTACACGGTTTATGTTATGGAATCTACCATATTTTATTATTTTTTTGAATGTTATTAAATTTTCCTGAACTGCGCACAAAGTTTTAAACTTTGACTTACACGGTTTATGTTATGGAATCTACCATATTTTATTATTTTTTTGAATGTTATTAAATTTTCCTGAACTGCGCACAAAGTTTTAAACTTTGACTTACACGGTTTATGTTATGGAATCTACCATATTTTATAAAAAATTAACGACACAATTTTATCGCGTAAACTATTGTGAATGTTGTAAAAAATAAAAATGTGCTATTTGGATGAGCGCCACTGTATATTAGCTAAATTTACCTGCATATTAACTTCACTGGGAAATATGGAGCATATTTCGTCCACTATGCAAGGAAAGTCCTGCACTCTAAGATTAATATTCTTTGAAATAACCTCTTCCAATACAATATTAATTATATCCTCTCTTTGTGCATGTGTAAGTGTTTTATTTTTGTAGTCAGACATAAGAAGAGCTCGCCTCGCACAGAATCCTTAAGCAAAGTTGTCAAATCCTGTAGTAAGAAATAAATAATATAGTGACAAATAAAGTTATTCACACCGAGAATTTTTTGCAATATAGGCATGCAAAGTTTTTTTCTAATTTCTTCTCGATAATTTTTTTTAAGAAAGTTCCTACTACACTAAAAAATATAAAAAAAATCCCTAAACTTTGTAAAAAAGTCAGCAAAATTCAATAAATTTCCATACTAATTTGTACCTTTCTATTCAGATTTCCTAGAAAAATTCTAAATATGGACTCTTATAGCCCGCTCAAATTTTAGTGTTACAAAAAAAAGTTTAAAGTTGCTAGAAAGTCACACTTATTTTTGGCAATTTTTGTTCCTGACGGTGTCATTATTATCTTCCGTACAAGAAAAGTTGTCTGTACTTTCTATGGAAGAAACTGCATAAAAAAAATTTTCAAAACTACGCGATTTTGCAGCAACTTTAAACTTCCACTTTGTTATACCAAAATTGAATAGGCTATAAAACTGCATACTTAGAATTAAAAAAAAAGAATTATCGAAAAAAAATTATAGTACAAATCTTTTTATATATTGTGAAAAATTTTCTGTGCCAATATTTTTCTTGCCACTGTACACTCTGATATATTAAATTTACATATACCTTTTTTAGGATTTGCTTTGTATTTTCTGTTTTCGTTTCTAGCCAAGCACCCACATTAGATGGCACGGAAATTGTATCATCGTCTATTCCAAATTAATAAGGAGTGAAATGTTTTCAGAAATAAATTAGATTTGACAATCACAAAACATCTGCGTATGAAAGACTACCTCTCGTTTTTTCCACATAAAGAGCTTCTCCCGGAATTCCATCCGAAGGCCAAGAGGTGGTATGGCTTCTTTCAAGTCTTCCTTCCTCATGTACTGTAAACTTTCCAAAGTCACATGCGCAGCTGAAATATATGTGTGCGTAAATAAATCTGTACATCAAGGCTCTGGACATGCCAACGGCAGGGATTTTGCAAAAATCATGACACCTAACGTTCTTAAAAAACTTTCCAAAAACAAAAGTTATGTATACATACATATTTATGTATGTTATATTAGTTATAATTTTAATGCCCTACCATGTAAATTACATTTATGTATGTACATATGTATAAAAAATCAAAGCCTACTACGGCTGTGCAGCCGGCGTATGAATGTCGCTACCCAGTAGAAATCTTATGCATACAACATCGCTGTTGGTGGCATGAGCTCGCTGCTGTGTATACATGCTAGTATAAATGAACGTTCATTTCCATTTAACACAGGTGGTTTCTCAGAGCGTATGCGTACCTTAATCATACACTTGTACTACCGCTGTATGCATATGGTTGTATTAATGTTTCAAAAATACAAAAATGGATTAATGGAACAATATTAAAGCATTCTTTCAAGATATGTATCCCCATATGTAAGTTCTACTTCTCTGATACATTTTAATATACGGGGACATACAAAAAAGTAGCACTTACATATGCAAATGCATATCTTGTAAAAGCCCGTTTGTGCTGAAAAACAAAACACGTCCGTTAACTAAAATTTTTGTACAAGACTGAAAATATTACAAAAATTCCACTTCAAATTTATCAAGAAATGTACTTAAAACAACGACAACGTACATTCGCTTGCAATTCGCTGGAATTTGAATTTATTCGTTGAAATTAATGACTACGAATGAATTGTTCACACTAATTCACTCATATAGCAAGCATTCTTCGTGAATGCATACCACCGATTTCTACTGGGTACTTGTAAAGATATACATACATACATACATACATATTTACATACAAATAAGGTCGGTGTTATGCAGACGGACTTTTGATTGGCAAACAATATGGCGGCTGCCTCTGTTTGGTGTGAGGTGGTTACGTCGAGTTTGCCACAGGGTTGCATTTTCTTAATAGCTTTGTTTTTATTGGCAACCTTCGGTAGTTTGCTGCAGGGTTGCATATTAATAATGCTTTTGGTTTTACTGGCAACGTTCGATAGAAATTGTGTAGATATGCACGTAGGAAACATAAAAAGCGTTAAAAATGGATAACGAAGTATACGGTATTATATGTATGTTAAAACAATATGCAAATAGTGTTATATTCTGGACAGAAAATCAAAGAAATGTTATACGGTGTGGAATAAACTCATTGAATCTTTGTTGATGCTCGGAAATATTAGACGCACCAGATCTTGCCGCGCAGTTATATGGCGTCAAACTAGAGATTCTGAAGGATCGTATGCATTTCTTCATAGACATCTTAAAAATGAAGATTTGTGGTCATTTAAGAACTATGTCAGGATATCAGATGGACAATTCGACCAAATTTTAAATTTGATTAGGTGCGACATAGAAAAATGTGTAACAAATGCTAGAAACGCCATTTCGCCAGAGGAACAGTTAGCGGTTACGCTTCGGTATTTAGCAACCGGCGAAACTTATCGCAGTTTAGCATTTCAAACGAGACTGTCCCATTCATTCTTTGGTTATTGCATCCCAAAAGTTTGCAGAGCAATTTGGAAACGTTTAAGTCGCTTATATTTAAAGGTAATTAAAAAAAATTTAAGTGTTAAGTTTTCTTGAAGTCAAAGTTAAGGAGTGAGGTTAAGGAGTGAACACCAAATATAAAAACAAGTGACATAGACCTTTTAACCATCTTTACCTTATATGTTTTAATGAAATAAAGTAAATTAAATATTAAAGTCAATTCAATAAATATTTATTAAAACGTAAAAATACAACAGGTACTGAAATTTAAAAAAACCAATTCAATATTAACTTAAATAAATTTTTTCGTTTTAAACACTAAATCACATTTTATATACATAAATATATCGTCACCTAAGTGGAAGATCGACCTATCTCGGCAGGCAATTCGAAAACGCCCTATCTCAGAAAACTTTTGAAGAACGCCCTACTTCAGAATTTGATTGAAGAACGCCTTATTTCAGAATTTTATTTAAAAAAAACACCCTATCTCAGCTGGCGATTCAAAAACACCCTATCTCAGTACATTTTCAATGTATTTCCAGCTGAGATAGGGCGTTTTTGAGCCGAATTCTGAGATAGGGTGTTTTTCAATAAAATTCTGAAATAGGGCGTTCTTCAGTCAAATTCTGAAGTGGGGCGTTCTTGAATAATTTCTGAGATAGGCCGTTTTCGAATTGGCTGCCGACATAGGTCGCTCTTCCCGTCAGGTGACGATATTAAGTAAAAATAAAAAAATTCATTAAAACTTATCACCTACCACAACCGTAAAATTCATTAAAAACTTACATTAACTTAAAATCTATTCCAAATCGCTATCATCTAAAACACCATCTAAAGCTAAACTTAAAATATCCCGAGTTGTCGCGGAGTTTGTTACTTCCTTGTCTTTTTTTCTGGCGGAAGATAGCAGGGAATGGATGGCATCAATGGTTTCCAGAGCAACGTCCTCACTTTTCATACCATCCAGTATGCTGACCACCTCCTCGCCAAACCACTCATATTTCCTTTTTGTGTTTGTCACCATTATATTTGTCAACTCTTTTAATCCCTGTTGTACCTTTTGTTGAAAATGAGCCTTATTTCGTTTTCTGCAAGATGATGAAACCTGAAAATAAAATAATTGTTATTATTTTTAGTTCCCGGAGTCTCCAAATGAATGGAAATCAATTGCGGATCAGTTTGAGCGGAAATGGCAGTTTCCTCTTTGTTTAGGAGCTTTAGATGGAAAGCATGTAAGCTTCTACGCTTCTCAATCAGATGGCTCTTACTATCACAATTACAAAGGAACTGATAGCATTGTACTGCTAGCACTGGTGGATGCAAATTGCAAATTTATTTATATAAACGTGGGCGCAAATGGTAGAACTCATGATGGAGCTATCCTAAGCCATTCGTCTTTACAGCGAGTGTTGAATAATGGGGATACATACTTTCCACCAGACAAAGTTATAGGGAACCAAAGATTATTGCCTTATGTCGTGGTTGCCGATAATGCTTTTGCACTACAAAGACACGTGATGAAACCTTACTCACACCTCACAAGTGTGCGTGAAAAAATTATTTTCAATAAAAGATTGTCCAGGGCACGTCAAACAAGTGAAAGAGCTTTCGGCATACTCTCTCAAAGATTCCTTATACTGAAGAAACCAATCAACTTACAAAACGTAAGAACTATTGAGACCATTATACAGGCGTGTTGTGTACTTCACAACTTTATTTTAAGTAATAGGATAAGTTCTTTGAGTGAACCATTTATGGATACAATGCATTCTAATGCAATATTATATGAAAGAAATCTCTCACCTGAAGCAATAAGAAATTCTTTTCTTGAATATTTTAATAATGAAGGAAAGTTGGAGTGGTTAGAACAACAATAAAAGTTATGCAAATTAAATATAATGCCTGAATTTTTAAATAAATATGGTTGAGCCTTTTTAATTTATTTTAATGAATTCAACGTTTTTCAGCATTTTGGCTACGAATCGTGAAAATATAACTTACCGACGGTTCGTCCCTCAACGAGGCGTTATCCGTGTTTATATTATTGTCCGTATCGTATCTTTATTGGAAAAATTACAAATTACTCTTAGAAAACTTTATGTCACAAAATCTTACCGTTTGTGGCCTGTTTTCATCATTTAAACTATCCTGCGTCTCCCTTATTTCTACGTTTGGACGTAGAAACTGGAGCAGCTCGTAACACCACATTTTGGGTGTTTTCACATCTGCTGCGCCGCATCCACTCCGTTTACTGGCTTCAATTGCCCTCACTTCTCTCCGAAATTGTGAGCGCAGTCCTTGAATTTTTTCCCTAATGTTTTTTGGGGTCACAAGGGGATCTTTCGTCACCAAAACGTCGTGAATTCCATTTATTGCCGCATTTCGCTTATCCCTGTCACTATAATGGCAATGCTTTGTGTTCCAAAGACACTCTCGGGCCTGGAGAAGATTTATTAATTCTTCCGTTAACGCTCGGCTCCAGGAGATAGACATTTCTATAATTATAAAAATTAATTGACCCACTTTAGATTTTCACAAATTTCTTTGCTTAGTCATTTTCTAACGACACACAAATAAGTAATAATGTTTTTGTAATACAAATACTCACTTTAATAACTTTTATATTCGCGCGGATATTAAATATCTTTATATCGAAAATTTTGCGTTAGCAGTACATATACTCAGCGCGTTTTCTTCTGGAATAAACATGTTTTGTGTATAACTGCAACATCTACCATATCGTATGGCAATACTGTATTTTCCAGCAAATTTTTGTGTATGGCAACACTTATTTTTCATCTGTTTGGCCCAACAAATTTTGTTTGCTGTGAGAGTCACCAAACTCTCTCTCTCCGAGTTTGCTGCAACAACAATTTCACGCAGTTTGCCAAACAAAATTTCTGCATAACACCGACCTAACAACACAAATGTGGGCCTTGCTGACGCTTCGCTCCTTACTATCAGCAACGTATGTATGTATAAAAAATTCAAAGGCAACTACGATTGTCCGGCTGCGTATGAATGTCGCTACACTTGCACAGATATATAAACAAACACAGATGTGAGTACTGCTGGCACGCTGACAGCAGCGTATGCATGCCATGACTTGTAAAGAATAACGGTTGAGCGTCGTTGTACTCAACTTTAAGATTTTTGATTCTTCTTTTAAGAATTTTGAAACCAACAATAAGAATATCTGTTATGTTCTTGATTTGAGTACACATTAGTTTCGTTCTAAGCTTAACATATGGGTGTTTCCATGAAAATGTCAACCAGGACTGAAAAAATAAAAACAACTGAAAAGGGTTTTTCAGACGAATTAATAAGAGAAAAATACTCGAATTTTTATATTTTAGAAGTATTTCAGCTTATTGGAATTTTAAAACTCAAAAATGGAAGAGTAAAACTGAATGTCTCTTCGACTCAGTTTTCTCCAGGGACCGTAACGGTTATAAGTTTTATTATAAAAATCACTCTTTAATCGTTATTAACTAAGTTTTATTTTTTGCTCGGAAAATAATCGTTACGTTTTAAGTTTTATTTTTCGGTCGGAAAATAA